AATTCCACTCCAAAACTAGTTCTCTTCTCTCTCAGAAAGTTTTAATTTTTCCTGATGTCAGAACTACTCTACAAAAAGAAAATACTCAACTTCAATCAGCCAACGAATATCACAAATATAAACAGCCACTCCCCAAATATTTTAGTCACTACATTTTGCAGAATGCAGGTATGTTGCAACTTGTAAGTTGCCTCACAGAAAATACACAGAAAGCTGTTCATAAAACAGAACAAAAAAAATATGGTAACATTTACTTAAAATACAACACTATTACTTCTGCTACGATTAAATTCCAAAAGGAGATGTAAAGCTGCTTAAAGCTTTTACATTTGCCTAGTAATCCCCTCCACAGATGGCTGTTATCCAGATGAAACAAAAACATATCAGCCTATGGAAATTTAGGGCACACAGAAGTCATTAAATTACAACTTTATGCCTATCAAAATGCCATAAGAAACTTGCTTTATTTTTTGAAAATCTAGGTTCCCCCCCTTTAAAACTTGACAGCTGCTCATTATTTTAGCACAGATTTTAATAATCTAGTTTGCAATTAGTGCTAAGTCTATTTTAAAAGTCTATTTTCATTATAGTTATAATAAAAAGTTACTACTGGACAATCAAAAATGGACCCCAGAAATTCATAAACCCTAGTTTACTAGTTGTTAACTATTTAACCTAGTTTAGTGAGGTCAGTTATATTAATCACAGAAATATGCATGGGTCATATTTTGCCAACATTTTTCTACATTCAGAGTTTTTAATTAAGGAGTTTTGTGTGTCCGTCTAAGCTATTCAAACTCGTCAAAGTTAATTTGAAAAAAGCAAATCACAAATTTTTCAGCCTGCAGTACTGTAGTATTCACTCAATGCATCTGTATATTATGGTCTTGTGAGACAGCCCCATTTTGGAGTTTGGGTACCCATACCATAATGCCACTATATAAATCCATGGTATGCCCACACCTTGAATACTGCATGCAGTTCTGGTTGCCCCATCTCAAAAAAAGATCTATTAGAATTGGAGAAAGTACAGAGAAGGGCACCAAAAATGATTAGGGGTATAGAACAGCTCCCATGTGAGGAGAGATTAACAAGGCTGGGACTGCTCAGCTCAGAAAAAGAGACTATGGGGGGATATGATAGAGGTCTATAAAACCATGAATGATGTAGAGAAAGTGAATAGAGAAGTGTTATTTACCCCTTCACATAATACAAGAACCAGGGGTCACCCAATGAAATTAACAGGCAGCAGCTTTAAAATAAGCATAAGGAAGTACTTCACACAACACACAGTCAACCTATGGAACTCATTGCCAGGAGAAGTTGTGAAGGCCAAAACTATAAGTGAGTTCAAAAAAAAAATTGATAAATTCATGGTATAAGTCCATCAATGGCTATTAGCCAAGAAGATCAGGAACCCATACTCTGGGTATCACTAAACCTCTGACTGCCAGAAACTGGAACTAGATGACAGGGGATGGCTCATTCGATAAATTGCAATGTTCTGTTTCTTTCCTCTGAAACACTTGCCACAGCCAGAAGACAGGATACTGGACTAGATGGACCATTGGTCTGATCCAGTAGGTTCATTCTTATGTTCTTTTTTGTATTTTGTATTTCTCAATTTAATTTACATTTTAAGAAGACTTGCAATTTAACAAGTAAAATGTTCATTTGAAGTTGACCAATTATACACCTACAATCACACATACACTTACATCTGGTAAAAGTTAACTCATATGCCTGAATGTTAGACAATTGCTCCATCATGTTCCTAGCTCCTTACACCATGAAGTTAGAATAACATTAAATGCTGAGCTGCAAAGTTACCCCCGCCACACACACACCCCTTCACTAAGTACATTCAGTACTCTTTACATACAGCATCATCTACTATTGCAAGATTCAACCATGCCTTCTGCCTTTACAGATGACTGATCTTTTCTTTTCACTCAGCCACTGGAGAAATATTCCATCCAGCTCCCAAATCCTCATCCTGCCTTGAACGTACCCAGTTCATCTCCACATTAGCATCCCTCTACTATGAGAGTATTACCATCTCCCTATTAGGTATCTCTTTCTAGCCCTATTAGGCAACACTTGGTGGCCATTTTAGCATTTTTAATAGCTTACAATGGGCTTTATGGTATTGAATCTGATCTGATATATTCAGTCAATCTTCTCTTCTGACTTTTACCTCATCCTCAATGCTGCATTTGACCATGACAAAATCCAACCAAGTATTCTTTGTGGAGATCTTGGGTACCTAATTCTTGTTTCTCTGTATTCAAAACACCTACTACATGTGACTAGCACAAAACATTCTTCTTCCACTATACCTCACTTTAATGATCACCAAGATTTTAGCATTGGTACTTTTCTATTTAGTCCCCGAACACTCCCTGAACCTTCTTTCTGAATTCAACTTTTTTTTAAAAAAAATTTTTTTTGGCTTTTCCTTTTAATTTTGTTTGCAAGATACAGATAAGATATTTTCCTACCTACCTAGGTCTTTCTATTCTCCAGCCCAAGCTCTACTCACTTCAAATACCAGGGGTCTGTCTCTTGCTCTCCCATTTCTCCATCTCGCCAGTGTGGGGAAAAAAAATCTTACTTCCATGCTACTCCTCATTTGATGATGGCTTTAAATGATATCAAGTCCCCTCTCAAAACCACTTTTCCTCCTGGTTTACTACTAAGAATCTGTCATCTAATAAAGTCAAATCCTACTTCATGGACCTCCCATTCTACTCAAATCCAAACCATTCCCCTGAAACTTGAGCAAGGTGTCCATCATACCTAAAGGAAGGACATACTGGATGCTACAAAGTTACTTATATTTATTTGCATGCTAGCCTGGTAACTGAGAAGTGCTCTGTATGACTAAAGATATACAAAAATAGATAATATTAAAATGGTCTTGCATTGTAATTTGATTTTAAACAATTTACTCTATCTTGCTATAAATAAAAAGAAAATCCTGATCAACAATTATTATTTTTAAAAAGCAAAACAAGGGTCAAGATAATGCAAAATAAACACCATGGCCTCTTACCTCCTACAACTCCTGATTTCCAATGTTAAACCAATTTAACAGCAAAACCCAGAATAATTTTGCAAATTCACAGGACTCTTAAAACAGATGTAAGACCTTCACCAGCCTAGAAGCATCTGCTACTTTCAGCTTCACACAGATCAACATGTTTGGCCTGATAGCAGGGGTTCAGCTAGCAACCTGAAAACTGTACACAGACTGGATAATCCAGTACAGCATCATCCCTACAGATTACCCTGAATCTGACAGTTGGTGTAGTTAGAGCCTAAGCATCAACAAAATGTTGCCCCTGAGAAATTTGACACCATGGAATATATCTTTACTACTCCACCCTGCTTCCAAACATGACTGACAGCGAGGAATACAGAGGTTGGGAACACAGTACTTAGTTATAAAGCTTGGAACAGCACGGAAAACCCACAATACAAATAAAATTCACATACACTTACACACCACTTATCAGCCTCCTTCCTATCCACCCCCAGCTTTAAAAAAAAGAGACAAGAACAGATGCTACACTGGCACTTTCAGCGCTACTGCTCAGAGGTTATGCAGTTCAGTTGCCCACACTAGCCTAATTCCCTAAAGCAATTACAATACTGTGTTTGGAGACAGTTTGCAGTACCCTCCCCCAACACAAACTATGTGCACCCAAATGCCTGCAAACTCTCCCCATGTGTGTGACCACTACAGGTGCATTCCCCACTGCCAGGAGTATGCGCGTCCCCCCCACCTGCAAACTCTCCCACCCACCATGTGCACACATCCCCACCATATGCAAACTCCCTTCCCCCTGTGCACACACATCCCCTCCAAGCTGCCACCACATACTAACTCCCCCTACCACCTGTAAATTCCCCCGTGAGTGCAAGTGCATCCCCCGCATCCCTTGCAAACTGTGTGTGAACGCACTTCCCCACCACCACCTGCAATCTTCTCCCATGTACGTACAGGCATCCGCCAGCAGCCACCATCACCTGCAATCTCCCCCGTGTACACAAGCATGTCACCCCAGCTTCCCACCACCTGCTAACTCCCCCCCCCCGTCGTGTGTACACACGTGTTCTTCCCAGCACCCCCCCACTCCAGTCTGCAAACTTCCCCCTTGGTGTGGGTATGGGCACCTCCCCCTACCTACAAACTCCCGTCCCCCCCAGTATGTGCATGCACAGGTGCCTCCCCCCCCCAAACTCCTCATCCCCCCACTGCCTGCCAACTCCCCCCATGTGTGCATAAGCATCCCCCCACCATCTGGAAACTCCCCCCCTCGTGTGTGCACAAGCATCCCCTCAGCCATTTGCACACAAAAGTCCCTGCCCCCCCAGGAGTGTCCTGGAGTCTCCAAGAATTAATTTTTAATTAAAGATTATGTCACATGATGAAATCTCCAGGAATACATCCAACCAAAACAGGCAACCCTTTGGTGTGTATAAGAGCACCCACATCTGCAAACTCCCTCCCCCCCCGGCATAAGTGGTGAAAGTAGGGGTGCTGCCGCAGGCACCCCCTGGCTTCCAGGGGTATCCATCACATACAGTTTGGCTCATTAGCTCTCAGCAACCCCCCGCTATACAAACTGTTCTAACACCCCGCCTGTATGTGCAGGAGCAACCCCGCCCCCGTCTGCCAATTCCCCTTGTGTGTGCGTGAGCGTTCCCCCAGTCTCGCCGTGAATGGCCCCCCAGTCTGCAAACTCCCCCCCGTCGTGCGCGCCTCTCCCGTCTGCAAACCCCGCGTGTGCGCGCCCGCGCGCGTCCCTCCCGTCTGCAAACTCTTCCCCCCCCCCGTGTGTGCGCGCGCGCGCGCGCGCGAGTGTCCCCCACGTCTGCAAACACCCCCCCGCCGGCAGCCCCTGGCCGGTCCCAGAGCCGCTTGGAAACGCAGGGAGCCGAACGGTCCCAGCGTCTCAACCGGGGCAGCCATGGCCGGGTGCGGGCTCACTCACCCGCATGGCACCACCTGCTGCTGCCGGGGGCCGACTCCCAAGCGAGCCCAGCCGCCGCCGCCGCTCCGCGCTGCCGCCCGGGCCCCGCAGGGTTAATCGCCCCACCCCCTCCCCGACACGGCGCTGCTCCCATTGGCCGGGCTGTTGCTAGGAGACCTTCAACAAGGGCCTGCGCAGGCCTGACAGGCCGAGTCCTGAGCCGCGCCACCCACCTCCTCCTCCGCCCGCGGGGCCCAGTGACCCGCGCCGAGGGAGGGGGCGAGGACAAGCGGGCGAAGGGGCTGCGCGCCGGGCAGGGGCCCTTCCGCCTGACTGGCTCGTGGGGCCCGCGCTGTGCCGGGAGGGGCCCCGCCCGCCCTCAGGACAGGGTTCGCCTGCACACGCTCCAGCGGCCCCAGGGGAAATAGTAGCGGAGCCGCCCGGCGTGTGTATTCAGCCCGCCTAAGCCGGGCCGGGCCGGGCCGGGCCGCCCCTCGGGTCAGCGCTCATCCAGCCCGTGCGGTGCGTACAGCAGCCGGGTACCACCCCGCCCGCTGCCTTGTAGCGCCCGCGTAGCCTAAAAGCGTGTAGGGCCTGGGCGGGTGAGTGTAGGCGCGAAGGCGGCTGGGAACGGCCCCTTCTCCGCGCTGGAACGGGGAGGTGCTGACCTGTTCCAGGAAGGCGCAATGGGGCTAAGGAAAGGTGCCGCTCTCCCTGTTGATAGCTGAAGGGTGGGGAGAGAAGCGCTGCTGTTCCGATCCCAAGGGAGGTTTGTGTTATAGGCGTGAAAGAATTGCCCTGCTTGGGGGAGGGGAAGGAAAGAGGCGTGCTAGGGTTAATATGTGCAGACTTGCATGAAAACTAAAGTCCTTATTACCTATATATGTCAGATCTCATTTAGGCAAAGGACAAGAAATACTGTACAACACTCTCACGAGGTGTGTATAGTCACCGCTCACACAAGGATGAAAAATACAGACAAATCCTAATAACGTATAGAATCAGTAAGCACAAAGATGTGGGTGACAAAGTATGGTAGAGTTATAAAGAAGAATCATGGAAACACAGGGCCGGGGGGGACCTTGGCAAGATCAGTTAGTCCAGTCGCCTGTGCTGAGGCAGGACCAAGTAAACCCAGACCAGCTCTGACAGGTATTTTTCTAACCTCTTATTTTAAAACCCCAATGATGGGGATTTTGCAGCCTTTACAAGCCTATTCCCCTGGTTAATAGGGGTGTCATTTCAGATTTTGATAGGGGAGGGCAACTTTAACTGTGATTCCAAAGGCTACTTAGGCAACTAAAAGCTCTACTTATTTTGCAGACAATAACTTAGAAATTAGCTTATATATATAAAATAGCTCTAATCTTAACGTGTTCTTACATCTTGTGTGATGACACTGGTTAGGTTGAAAATTTAGCCCAGTGACCTGTCTTCCAACAGTGGCTAATGCCAAGTGCTTCAGAGGGAATGAACAGTACAGGTAATCATTACTGATCCATCCTTTGTAGCCCATTCCCAGCTTCTGCAAACAGAGGCTAGGGACACAATACTATATAATGAATAATACAAATCATGACAATAATTGTCGACTTTATGGACTCTGTGGATGCAGTTTCTGTTCTTTGTTCTGGAATTGGCCTGGATACAGCTGAAACTCTAAGAATTTGAGGCATAAACACAGTTGATACTCATTCCTTCCTTTTCTCAAACTCAGAACAAAACATGACAAAACAAAATGGTTTTCAGTTAAAAATATAAAATTTCACAGCAGCCAGTGCAATAGAGCCCAGCCTGAGGCAGAACCTGCCACCCATTGGGGGTTAAGTGATCTCTTATCATCGGACTCTCATTCTCTCTGTCTCTCTTCATCTTTCCTGACCAGTGTGCTGCTTTACATGTTGTCAACCATGACATCCTTCCCAAGCACTTGGGACTGTTTGCTGAAGTCTTAGAGAACTGGCCTTCTTGGTTTTGCTCCCATCTATCAGAGTCCTCTTGTGGTTTTTTGTTTGGTTGGTTTTGGTTTTTTTGCAGCATACAGCAGAGAGAGGCTGTTGCACTGGCTAGGGAACAAGCTTTCAGAGACCTGGGTTCTACTTCCCCCTGGACCTCCTGTATGAGTCAGGCCAGTGCCTTAGGGACAGAGTTTCAAAGGTTTTTAGGCACCAAAGATGCAGCTAGGTATCTAGTGGGTTTTACAAAGTACCTAGCCTTCTAGGCACTTTTGAAAATCCCACTAGGTGCCTAGATACCTTTGAAAATCTGGCTGGTAGTCAGCGTGTGCCTCAGTGCCCCCATCTGTACACTGGAGATAACAGCACTGCTCTACTTCAGAGGGGCTGTGAGGAGAAATAGGTTAGACATTGTGAGGTGCTCAGATACTACGGTGATGGGGCCATATAAGTACCACAGGTAGCATGGGTTTTTCCTCTAGATCACTGCAAAAACCTTCCCTGGGTTTTGGCCCCTTTTCACCCATTGCCCTCGCATCTCCATCTTTTCTGAATGAAACTTGGGCTCTGAGGACTTGGCTGTACTTCTTCCCAGTCCCCTGCGTTCTGTCTTCACTTCCAGATACTTAATTTAATTAAAAACGCCGGTTCAGGGCTGTCCCTAGCCATTTGGTTGCCCTATGCAGCCCACTACCCCCTCCCCTCCCCAGGATCTGGGTGGCAGCAGTTGTGGGGGCCCCACAGGCCCAGAGGATTAGCAGGGGGCCCAGAGCAGCCCGCTCCGCTTCCCTCGCCCTGGCCCAGCCGTGTCGCTCGGGGGAGAGGGCTTGGGGGACGGGATCCACCCCACGCCACCACTCACCGACAGCGGTGGGAAGCGGAGCAGCCCAGCCCCAGCCCACTCTACTCCGCCAGCTCCCAGCCACGGCGTTCCGCTTCCTGCCGCCAGGGAGAGCCGGGGGCGGTCCTTTCCCCAATCCGAATGACATGGCTGGGGCCGGGGCAAGGGAAGCGGAGCAGGCTGGGGCCGCATCTCTCCGCTTCCCACCACTAGTGAGTGCGGAGGGCAATCCTTTCCCCACACTCACCGGAAGCGGGAAGCAGAGTGCCGCGGCTGGGAGCTGGCAGAGTAGAGCGGGCTGGGGCCGGGTTGCTCTGCCTCCTGCCGCTGCCGGTCAGTGCGTGGTCGCTGGGGGAAGAGGTGAAATGGGGGCGGGCTGGGGGGAAGGGTAAGAGGCAGGGTGGAGGGAGTTGTCTGGGGCCCCACACTGCCATAGGGACGGCCCTGCCCCTTGCAGGGGGGCCGGCCGAGGGTAGGGCTGGTCGCTGGGGCTGATGCTGCCACATATGCAGCACGCAGCTACCTAGGGCACCATGAAATTTGGGGCAATTTGGTGTCCCAAATTTCATGGTGCCCTACGCAGCTGCGTATGCCTAAGGACGGCCCTGCGGCTGTTAATATACCACAAAAGGATATTAACATATTGCAGTTGTGAAAAAGGCTGACTCATATTCAGTTTGTGATCCACTATAACCTGCCAATTCTTTTCAGCAGTACTACCGCCTACCCAGTTATTCCTCAGTGTGTAGTTGTGCATTTTATTTTTCCTAAGTAAAGTATTTTTCACTTGTCTTCATTGAATTTCATCATGTGATTTCAGACCAATTCTTCAATTTGTCAAGATCATTTTTCATTCTAATCCTGTCCTCAAAAGTCCTAGCACCCTCTTCCCCATTCTTGGTGTCATCTGCAAATGTTATAAACATACTGTCCACTCCATTATCTATGTCATTAATGAAAATTTTGAATAATACTGGACCCAGGACTGATGCCTGCGGGATCGCACTAGCTGTCTCCTCTCAGTACATCAGCAAACCATTGATAACTCTTTTGAGTATGGTCTTTCAACCAGTTTTTTGCCCACTTTATAGTAATTTCATCTAGACCACATGTTCCTAGTTTGCTTATGAGACTGTCATATGGGACTATGTCAAAAGCCTTACTACAATCAAAATATATCACATTTACATCTTCCCCTTGCCCCTCCCCCATCCGTTAGGCCTGTAAACCTGTCAAAGAAGGAAATTAGGTTGTTTGGCATGATTTTTTCTTGACAAATCCAGAATGACTATGCCAGATGTGGCCAACCTGAGCCTGAGAAGGAGAATTTACCAATGTACATTGCCAAAGAGCCACAGTAATATGTCAGCAATCCCCCCAGCAGCTCGCACCACCCGCTCCCAGCATATTCCATCTACCAGCAGCCCCGCCAATCAGTGCCTCCCCGCACCTCCCCATTAGCTGTTTCGTGGCATGCAGGAGGCTGTGGTGGGGAGGAGTGAGGGCACAGCAGGCTCAGGGGAGGGGGTGGAGTGGGGGCAGAGCCTGGGGCAGAGCCAGGGTTGAGCAGTGAGCACCCCCTGGCACATTGGAAAGTTGGTGCCTGTAGCTCCAGCCCCGCAGTCGGTGCCTATACAAGGAGCCGCATATTAACTTCTGAAGAGCCACATGTGGCTCTGGAGCCACAGGTTGGCCACCTCTGGATTATGCAATCAATACAATAGGAGAGAGCTCAAATCCAAGAAACTTTTTCTACTCCCGTGTAATATCATGAAATCCTATGCTACCATTACATTGGAGGGCCACATATGGCTCACAAACTATTCTTTGTCCACTCCTGACCTAAAAGGAACCCTCAAGTAGTGATTGACCTAAATTTTTATCTTCTTTAACTCTATAGTGATAGCTATCCTCATGTCTCTTACAGAGCTGTTCCCATATTAGATAATTGGTCCAGCTAGTCTAATATGCTGCTTCTAACCAGGATCCATACCTAATATGTCAGGAGAAGTTGTAACTTACCTAAAATTTATCTTGCTAGTTGTGCAGTGCTGTACATAGCAGAGAAAGGGATTCCTTCCAGGTTTCATTTATTATCTTGTATCCTGATGCACGTTTTGGTTACCTTTGTTGTCATTGCTTGCAAATCTAAAAGTGCTACTGATAATTATAAAACTCAGCCCACAGTATTTGACTCAAGGACCTCCTAATGAATCTATCAAAGGTATTTGTAAGATAATTATTTTGATATCTAAGAACATTGAATTCTGCAGGTCATGTGTATTAGGTAATATCTTAGTTTATTTATACTAAATTTGCTGACCTTTATCTGAAGTCTCCTTGACCTCAT